AGGCAGTGCGAATTCTCTGCGCAACATTGGGTTGCAGGCTGCTAATTTATGTCTGTTTGGATGGAAAGGATCGCTTGGGATGGTGATGTCTGTATAGCTAGGTTTTCTGAAAACATTGAACTCGAATTTATTCTGATTTTGTGTAATGGCCACGTCTGAGAAATTTATCTGTTTCTCTATCTCTGTTTATGACATTCATGAACAATCTCAATAGCAACATTCAGTTTACACTCGGAACCATAATACCAAAAATATTCTTGTAATGTAGACGAGGGGTTAAACCAAAGCTTGGGAGATAACCAACCAGAACAGAAACCGTGGCAATTCCCTGGGTGAAAATCCTTCGTATACAACAACCCTATAAATGTTTTATTATTATAGGAACTGTCCTAAATTGTCGCTAGCAAGAGAACAATGAAAAGAAAAGTAGGAAAACTCACCTTCTGTGAAGGGTTTTATCTTGTAGCAAAACAGGCGTTGGCGTGGTACAAAGTATTCAAACACCAAATTGTCGTAAACGTTCAATATAGGCCTCTATCAAAAGCCAGGACGTAGTGGTTGATAATAAGATGGGTAGGACGAAATATCCACTAAGGACCATTTAACAAATTCAGGATTCGTCAGCCGAACAAAACCAGAAACACCTGTAGGTCAGATACCTGTCGTTTTCGCGAGATACAGGGCTCTTCATGATGAGCGTTAATTAGCCGTTTCTGACAAGATGGATTGGTAATAATGGACCTTTTCGTTGGCCTCCTAGAACACCAGATGACAAACCATTAGATTATTTCGTGTGGGGTTTCATTAAAAATATGGTTTACTCTACTCCAATAACAACAATGGAAGATATGAAATCGAGAGTTACAACTGCTTTCAAAAGTTTGACTCCAGACTTGATCAGAAGCGCTACACATGACAATCTTTTGAAGAGATTACATGTTTGTTTAAGTAGAGGTGGAGGTGTGTTTGAACATATTCTGAAATACACTGACGATTAAATTGACTCATTAATTTATGGGTTTATTATTTTCATTTCGTGTTTCAGCGTTAATAAAACTATTATTTGAAGAGAAGTTTCATTCGATGGTTGAGGAGTATTTAAATAATTATCTTTTTATTGTATTATCTGTGACTAATTGAGAAACATCAAACGAAATCTGTCTTACAAAAATGAGTGATGAACAAGGAAACCATGTCAATTTCCGTTTGAAACAGTTTATCTCGAGAACGGTTCAAAATAGACTGGCAGTAAACAAATCTATAGAAATGAACTTTAAACGTTCAAGCCAGTCTCGAATGTACCTACACAGTAGGTTAAATGGACTGACGACTAGCAAAACAAAAAGTTCATTTCTTTAGATTTAAAAATAATTCAGAAATATCCTGCACAACAGACATACAATGATCAATCTCTCCGATCGGACAATATCAGAAGACGAGTGCAGCATACTCGCCAAAGGCTAATAAAAAAATACAGGGTGTTCCGTTTCGAAAAGTTGATTTATATCTGTTTGAAAATGAATGAAACTTGACCGGTTTTACCGAGCAGCCTATACAGTGTGTCTTACTTCTCATGGAATTCTTTTCAGTTCTCTAGGTGTGATTTCTCTACACGCTTGTATAATTCTTGTACGGAGATCTTCCTTATTTGTTGGCCTATCTTTATAAACTTTATTTTTCAAGTTTTCCCATAAATAAAAATCCAGTGGAGTTAAATCTGGGATCGTGGTGGCCATACTACGAGAGGGCTATTGGGTCCTATCCATTTAATAGGTAGATTCCTATTCAACCAAACTGTTGTTATGCCACTATTGTGAACTGGTGAACCATCTAACTGAAAAATCATACTGTGTCTCACATCCAAAGGTAGTTCTTCCAACACATCAGAAAATGCCTTTTCGGGAAAATCAACGAATAGTCGTCCGTTTAAATTTTGATCGAAAAGAAATGGCCCGATAATATTTTCGTTCAGGATACCACACCACACATTAACTTTCTGAGATATGTGGTCTCTACAATTCACCACCCAATTTGGATTTTGTTCAGCCCGAAACCTCCTGTTCTGGGAAGATACAACACCATTCGTGGTAAAGGTAGCCTCATCACTGTATAAGATATACTTTAAAAAATTCCGGTCATTGAGATAATTTCCCTGCATCCATAAACAATACTCNTCCATCGCGAGTGGCGGACAGTGTATATCACTTTGGCCAACCCCATTCAGGTGGTAGGTGCATTTTGAGCATTTCCATCAGTCCTGAGAGTTTCATCGTTCTACCTCGAATATTACGGAAGATACGGGGGTGTTCTCATGAGAAGTGAGTCATACCTTATATTATTTCCGAAAGTTGAGTCTCCAAAAATTATCATATTGATGTTCCTGAAAAAATCTACTTAATTGCTGTAGACATTCGGGTGGTGAATTAAAAAAATATTGTCTAGAAAATAGGTTTTTCTGGAATAACTTGGCAATGCCGCCTTGGAAATTCGAAAATAAGAATTCCTCGGAGAGAGTACTGGGTGTTCTGTTAAAAAAAAAATATAACTTTGGTTGGCTAAATCACCCAGTATGCGAGAAAATAAGTATTTATATGGCTGCAAAAAAAATTGAGCAGTTCGAAAAATTATTCCCTCTGATAGCAATGGTCCGAGAGATTCTTGTTGACTCACCTTGTACATTTGATTCCGTTGCTAGATTGATACAAATCCTAGCAATGTCATTCAACACTGTTGATCAAATTGAACCATTTGCAGTATTCTAGAATGTCAAAATTGGAAGTGTTGCTCATAATATTTCACAATTACGTTAAAGAATTGCGCATTCAGTATCTAATTTGAATATGTCGACTAAAAATCACATGTCTATATTAAGCACTTGAAATGTTTTTTTTCTGTGATTCTGGAAAGATTATTCCAGTCTCTGATTATTTTTAAACGATTCCCAAGGTTTTTAGATACTTGCGATTCGGTTCAGTCAGAATTTATTTATGTTGATATTGTCTGATATTGTGACTTATGTGAAAGAATTTGAAGTTGGTAAAATTCAGAGTATATTTCAAAACATTTTGTGGATTCACCTGAAGAAATGCATAATGACCTGAGACTACATTCATTACATCTTTGAATCAGATAATGACAAGTTGATCTTTAGAAATCATATTTTTCAGGACCCGTTCGACCACAGTATAAAGAAAAGCCCCATTTCGTCCATGTTGTTGCTCTCCCTCCTCCTGAGCCGTCAACTATATCGAGTTTATCAGGAAATATTTTGCCCGTGCCTCTTCCACCAAAATCGGATACGGCCCTACAGGTATTAGTTCGTATATACTGTTTTGATTTTCTGCGTGTAGTCAACTATTTCTATATTTCATTTTCACTAATATCGTTAATTTCTTTTTTTATTTGATCTATTCTTATTCCATTGTTTTGTGATATGTACAGTCCATCGTCAACGTATCTGAACCATTTTCCTTTTTCATCATGTTTTGTTTGTTAAGATTTTCTCATTTATGATTTGCAGGTATATTTCGGATATGCTAGATGGGGATCCCATCGCTAGTCCATCTGTTTGTTTATAAATTTTCCCTTCAGATTCGAAATAATTTTGATTTTGATTTTGAAGTATTGTATTTAGACTGTGTTCCATTCGGTTGATGTAGGTTTTGTCTATGTTTTGGTGTTTTAGTTTCTCAGATATGATGTTTATACTTTCGTTGACTGGTATGTTGGAGTACATGTTTTTTATGTCAAACGAGAACAGTTTAGTACCTGAAATACCTGAGTTGAGACGTTCGGACCGTATAAAGAGGCAGACGACAAGATGACAAGTTCAGTTTGAGGAGTGCCTAGAAGATGACAGTACGACCAGCTGTCGTCTGTCATCTTCTACGTTTGAAACGTAACATATGGAAACCTCTTATCAAGCGAAAAACGTCCAACTCCCACCAAACGGTCATCTCCCGATAAAACCAATGAAGCGGAAAGAGGAAAGAGGGGATAGATAAAAGGTGAAAGTACCCGAATGACCTATGAATAGTCAGATCTCGGAGGAGTAAGTCCAGTTATCACCGAAGACGACTGTGGATACTAACAATCGAAACGTCGTGACGTAACTTGGTTTGGAATCTTTTTTTAATTTTCAGCTTTTATCAATATTTCAATTTTTTATTTTCTGGTTGTAGCTTGTAAGTTATTTCCTTGTAATTTCAGTTTTTTGTTTAAATAAAATTGTTATTTTCGGTTAATCTTTT